ACCACTGTGCCGGTGACCTGCAGCTGAAGAGGGGAAGCTGAAGGTCACCATTAGATCCTACACGGTATCAATTTCCAAGAGGTGCTGCGTCTGCTTTACTCACACTCTACACAAAGGTGGCTGTTACAATCATTTAAAGCACAATTTAACTCCATACTAGCTATCTAAACAAACACATACCTTAGAACATACCAGGCCTATGCTTTGGTATAAAAAAGCAGAGAAAGCAAAGTTTTATAAATAAAATTGAAGAACAGCAGCCTTAAACCACACAGCACATACCAGTCACATTCCATTTACGCATGCCAAACTTTTTTTAATGACATTTACTCTAGAAAACAATATTTCCTCCCTTGGCTTGTTGAACTGCTATCAAACTTATTTTTGATCTCCACTACGAGGAAGTACTTTCCTAAAATCCCCACCTGTAAGAGGCAGGTTTACCTGCACCTTGTTGTTTTCGAACTAGGAGACAATGGCTTATAAAGCAGATTGTATGGATGGCTGCAGCTCATCAGGTATCACACTTTAATGCAYAGAACAGCCTTATGCATCATTTGTGATGGATAATTTGGAGGAAAACTACCAGTGCAAGGATGCTTCAGGTTGCCCAATTAATAAGTCCAACTGCATCTTAGCACAGTCTCAGAAGAAAATTTAGGCACACTGTAACTGCTAATAAATGGATCAGATTTTTACAAAATTTTGTAAAATAGCAAGATATATTTTAAACCTATAAAAATTTGGTTGATGAGCTTATAATGTTCATAACTCTCAAAAAAAMCACAAAGCTAAAATAACTAGCTCTTCAGAAGCTATTCGATAGTGTGTCTTTATAAATAAAGGTTGGACAAATACATGCTGCATGCATTTAACTGGCCTGCAACACCACCTGGCAACAAGGCAGAGAGCAATACTCACACGCGTTTTTACTTCAATGGTACTCTACACCATTGCACAGTAATATCTCCAAGCGTACCATCTTCAGAAAGCTCTGGCTTTCTTTTCTTCCATCTCATTTTCAATTGCAAAATGCAGGTTAGTCTGGTCCCACTGATTGTATGGCCACATACTTGYGGAGCATCACACAATCACAGAGTGGTTGAGGTTGGAAGAGACCCCTAGAGACCACCCAGTCCAACCCCCTGCTCCAGCAGGGACACCCAGAGCATGGAGCACAGGGCRGCAGCCAGGCGGGTTTGGAAGATCTCCAAAGAAGGAGACTCCACAACCTCTCTGAGTAGGTTTAACAAGCTACTTTCAGTTGCTTTAAAGATGCCCAAGCTTGAAATTCTCAAGGATTACAGACTGAGCACACGGGGAGCAACACAGAAACACCTTTTTACCGTGTACTAGAAGCCCTTTGCAACCTTTTTTATGTTAAGATGGAACCTCTGCTGTTTACCTTGATCAAACGTGCATGCACCTCTGACTGCAGCCAGTGCCCAGCTTTTCCCCAAAAAGAAATGCAGGAGTTTAAGGAAAAGTTCGGAGACAAAACAGGGAGGAAACAGAAAGAGTGAGGGGATTTGCWACTGCTCCTCGTTCCTCTCTTCTCCTTAAGATATAATCACCTGCACAGTGTGAAACACAACACAATTCCCCCATCTCTATATCCCACTGCTACCAGAGCAGGTCCTTAGGCACTGGAGCTCATACCTGGGCTAATATCTCAGAAGTGCCTGGACGAAAATTCTACAGCTTCCAACTCCACTGATGACCCTGAATGGCAAGGTGCAAGGGTAGGAACAGATAAAGGAGGGGAAAAAAATGGCACTCACATAGTTCTACAGCATGAAGCTTTCCCTGCTGAGTAGCTTCAAAATTAAGATAAATTTAGGGAAAAAAAACCCAACACCTGATCGCAAACCAAGAACTTCTCCGAAAGCCACTTGCCCATCTATCCCCGAGCCCTGGTTCACCATCAGGCAACAGGCACAACATTCCTCTCAACGTTCATGACACTTCGGAAACATGAGGCATTTCAACAACACAACTGAGCTTAGGTCCAGGGAAAACCCACAGGTGTCATTTAACAGCTCTAGGTTCATGCAAGTTTTGCATGATGAAAAGTTGGGCAGATGCGTCAGGCTACACACACAACCACAGGGCACAGAAAGTACAAAGTACCTTKATTAGGTTGTACTCAGTTGCCAAAACAAGTAATATGGAAGAGTCTCATGAAAAGCTATTATGTGATCATGTAATTAAGTGCATTAGGATATAACAGGGCTAAACTACAGCACCCTCCAGCTTCTGTTAAAGGATTTGTTCAAAGCCAGACAATCAGAAGTCTTGGTTTTCTACAGTCAATATAGTCTGCTATTCTGTCCCACTTCAAAGAAACCGAGTTTGTGTAAGGGCACAGGAACCTGCCACAGACGTTCCCTCCACCGCACTTCCACAGCAGCAAATCTACTGCAGAAACTAACACTCCTGAATACAAAAAGCAGGCAAACAGTCTAAAGAGGCCAATTACGCATGATTTTTTTTCTGCTCTGGAACACGACGGCAACGCTGAGAGATGTTACTGGGAAAAACACAAGCGACAACGGGTCTTYAGAGCTCCCTGAGCGGCGCGAGGCGGCAGGGCGCAGCGCCCGCGGGAGCGGAGGGGCTGGATCGCCCGGAGCGCGCGGCCGGCTGAGCGGCGCCCTGCACCAGCCACCGCTTGACCTTTTGCCGTCTCCCCGTGACGACTCCGGGCCCTGGTGCTCCGGTGACAGCTGCGGGCCCCGCTCCTCTTCAGGGCGATCCTCACGTTGGAGCGTACGCGTGTCCATACGCGCGTCCCATGCACGTACGCGACCACACAGGGGTTCTCCACGTCACCAGGGAGCGGATGATTCTTTATTCTTTCACAGAGACACTTCTGCCGGGGCTGTTTCCAGGCCAAGGAGCCTCCCAGTGTGACCCAACAGCTAATTCCATCTCGACAGGCAACAAAACCACGCTGAGCACCTCAGTGCATTCCAGTAGCACAACAGGTAGCCTAGTCCACTCCATAYGGGCACAGCACTTGCCTTGGGAAAGGGCCTGGCCACAGCACAACACGTCAGGACAAGGGCYGAGCGCGGCACAGGCCTCGCTTCAGGAGCAGACCAGAGCGCAACCTTGTCTCCTCTCAGTGCCACATCCCAACGCAAGTTCTTGCCTTCCCCCTCAATCAACCCTGACCGGTGACTAAGGACAGACCACAGGCCCCACCACCTGTAATGGAGGAGCTCGGCTACTCACCTTGGGTTACCTGGGGAAGAAAAAACATCAAGACAGAAAGGAAAGCAAACACAAAGGATCAGCCGGCCTAGATAACCAAGACATCCACAGAAATAGCTACAGGTGGATTCTTATCTACAGACTACACGTCTCTTCTACAAAACTATTTATTTACTTATTTATCTATTTCGCCAAATGGTGAAAAGTTCTGGCTTCATTTTTTAAGGTTTATTCCCCAATAAAACTCTTGGCATTAATGACCTTTTAGAAGTTTTGTGTAAGCCGAGGAATCCACTATCAGCTGCACGGAATGGTTTTGTCTCCACGTGGAACCGACAGTGTTAATAATCATTCAGCTATCGCTGTATCACTAACTTCTCACTCCCTGGATGCTACTCTGGGGCAAAACTGCTACGGAATAGYTATGGCTCTTACAGTTTTGTCATAAAGTGAAGCCATCAGCTGTATAATTTTCTTAGAAGTAGCACTTTCCCAAATGACAGCATCTATAAAATCATGACTTTTAACTGTGTTTATCCACAATTACACTAAAAGAATTTACTGAATAAGTCTTCCTATTCACTGCTTTGATCACATAGGCAATTTTTTTTTCTGATGGCTTTCTAAAGAGAAGACATTTTTATGTGAAACATTTATTAAGAAAAACATCAGACAACAACAACAACAAAGCCTCACAGGACCCACTAAAGCTGCGCCGTGTTTTGGGAAGGGCAGCCCGAAACGCTAAGCTCGGCTCAGAGGGTAAGAACAGGCCGGGCAGCTCCAAGGCTTCCGACGCCGCCTCCCCAGCGCGTCCCGCGGCCTCGGGCTCCTTCCCAACCTCGTCCCGCGGGAGCAGGGCCGGGAGGAGCGGCCTGGACGAGGCCGCAGGGGCAGACGAGGCCGCTCCGCGACCCCACTCGCGCCCGCGCTCCCCGCCACCCACGCGCTCGGCCCCCGTCCCGGCCGTGCGCGGCTTAGGCGCGGGTTTAASGGCGAGCGCGGCAGCTCCGCGGCGCGCTCTACGTCTCGGGACCTCCCGCACGGAGTGGGGGGGATGAGGGCGGCCCGAGAAGTCCGCGGCCACCCGCAACTTCAGCGCGGCGCGTTTCGGCCCCGCGGGGGCACTCGGGCGGCCTCCGGCTGCACTAACGGCTCCAACGGCGCCGGCCCCGTTACCGGCGGGCGGCCGCCGCGGGGAGCAACTTCCCGGCGGCRCTCCCAAGGGCGCCGCGGGCCCCGCGCCCTTCCCGCGAGGCCGCGCGGGGGAAACTGCGCCACGGGCCGGGCGGCGGGGCGGGAGCCGGGCGGCCTCCGCGGCGGGCGCTGCCCGCGGACCCGGCACATACGGGTCCGCGGCGAGGGGGAGGCTGCGGGCTGCCTTCCAACATGGCTTTTCCCTCGCCTCCTCCCCGCGGAGCCACGGCCGGGCCCCCCCGGCGCACTGGGCGAGCAGGAAACTCCTCCCGCGGGCCCGGCCGAGCGGCGGCTGCCGCGGCACTCGGCCCCGCCGGCGGCGGAGCGGGGAGGCGCGGGGGGAGCAGCCGGGAGTTGTGACAGCGGCGCCTGCCCCGGGGCGCGGGCAGCGGCAACAGGCGGCGCGGGCGGCCGCGCTCGCAACAGGCGGCGCGGGCAGCGGCGCCCCGGCACGCGCTCCGCAAACGTAAAAATAAAACCTGGTTTTAAATAAACAGCTCTCCCCCCTCCCCCCCGCAAATAAATGAATAAATAAATAAAGGCGTGAGGCGGGCACGGGAGCAGGGGGCAGCCGAGCGGCGCGTTACCTTTCTCTTCGGCATAATGTCCCCGCTCCGGGCTGCAAAAGTAAAGCGCTGGGAGGGGGGGCAGAACCCGGGCCGGGGGAGCCCTCCCGCGGCAGCGCAGACCCGCGCGGCAGCGCAGACCCGCCCGGCAGCGGCGGCGGCAGCAGCGACAGCAGAGC